GGCCCTTTGGTTCACAGCCACCTGGCAGAGGACCCCCCACTGGGAACCGAGCCCACAACCCAGGCATGTGCCCTTGGCTGGAATCGAACCTGGGACCCTTTAGTCTGCAGGCCAGTGCTCTGTCCACTGAGCCAAACCGGCCAGGGCTGAACCCATTTCTTATTTCTCCAGGAAGTGGCCATAAATCTTTCTCTTGGCCGCCAGACTAGAGAGGGTGGTGGCCCTCCTTCAGGGAAGGAGGGGGCAGCCACAGGACACGCCCTGCACTTCTGGCCCCACTAGCAAGGGTGCTTCCCAGGCCAGTGATGGGTTTTTGATTCTCAACTTTAAACTCCAGGAGGGTCCCAGTAGGCCAGGGCAGCCTGGGGATGTCTGGTTAGGATGACCTGGCGGTCAGACTACAGTTCAAACCCTCCCCAGGGACATTCACACAGTTTTAATTCTCCTCGGAAAGCAGTGAGTTCCAGCCTCCAGGAAAGGACCAGTTCAGTGGTGGTAGCTGCTGAGCGCTCCCAAACTGGGCCAATCAGAAGCCGGAGATGGGAAGCTCAGGCCAATGAGTGAATAGCCCAATACCCTGGAATTGAAAGTAAGCCAATCAGGGTGCGGGCTGTTTCTGGCCCAACCGTGGGTCTGGTAGGGCTAAGCCTGCTTCTGGCCTCTGCGGCGGGCAGAGGGCATCGGGGCGCCAGAGCTCTGTCCCGTACAGGAACAAGGGGCCTCTGTGTGGCGATCTGGGCAGGGCAGCAGCCCCGGGGATGCACACAAGCCCTTCTCTGTTCCCAAACTAGGACGGATGTCCCTTCGCCCAAGGGGAGCAGCTGCTTCTCTGTCCGGCCAAGGTCCGGGCCACCTCCCTGCGGGGGCACCGGTGACGGTGGACAGAGATAGCCCAGCGCCCCCGGAAGTCCCCCTTCACTCCCCGGGCTCACAGGGAACCGGCCTAACCAGCCTTTTCTGGAAGGCGGGTCCTGACGCACACGTGGTCCCTGCCAGGCCTTGGCAGACATGTTTCCGGGGACCTGGGGAGGGCTCTTCCTGCGCCCCACCCCCTACCCCCTTTTAGCAAATGGTTCCCCTCGTGAAAGGCGGGCTGCACCCCTCCTCTGAGACACCTCCCTCCCAAGCTGGAGGGCGGCTGGCCGTGGTATCGGCCTTGCATCCTCTCTGCACCTCTTCCCGCCCCCTCCGACGGATTGGTTTTCCTTGAGAAGGGGTGACTCAGGCTTTCATGGAAACAAATACGTCCCCCTCCCCGCGGGGCTGCACGCCCCCTCACCTCTCACATGACTTCAGCACAGCTGCCCCATCCTCCCAGCCAGGACCTCCCAGACTGGTCTCCGGTGTCTCTCTCCCCCCATCCCATCACCCCTCCCCCCCTTCCCCACAGCGGATGTGACTGGGGAACCAGGACTCCACCCTGTTTGTTCTAGGGGCCTCACATCTGGATTTCATCCTGCCTGGGAGGGGGTGCCAGCGCCCTGCCTATCCCTCTGGACCCTCTGTCCAAGGGCAGGGCTGGATGGTGCTGATGAGAACAGGCTGTTGGGAATCTTGCTGGGCTGGCTCTGTCAGCATCCGCTCCCAAAAGATTGGGTGGAGGGCAGCTAGTCCCCAGCAGAGTGCGGCAGGAAGAAGGGAGCTAATCGTATTTATTTCGCGCTTGTTATGTGGGAAGGCTGCCTCCTGCATCGTTCAACAGGATTTTTCTGTCACCCTGTGAAGTGGGCTTGCTTCTCCCCGTTGTGCAGATGACGACACTGAGGCTGCGCGCCCACTGACTTGCCCAAGGCCCCACAGCATGTCAGAGCGGGTGTGGCGTTGACACTAGATTGTCTTCCAGGCCTCTGTCTTCTGGGGTGACATGACCTCTGGGATGCCGGAACCTCAGGGCTAACCTGGTTTCTCCTCCAGACCTTATTTTGGGAGCACCCACAGCCTCCAGGCTTACGCCCAGCCTGAAATCTAGGGCCGTGGGTGGTCATGAGCAGGGCATGGTGCTGTCGGCACCAAGCATCTTTCTGACCCAGGTTGGCAGGTGGCACGAGGCTCCAGGCTCCGGTGTATTTGAGAAAAGAGGCGAGCCCTCTGGTTCCTGCCCACAGCTCCACCTCTGGGTAGGCGGCCAAGGCTTCTGGGGGTCCACTTGGTGTCCTTCATGCCGTTGGGGGAGCTTCTGAGAGACAGTGTAGCCTAAAGGCTATAGAGCAGCGGTTCTCAACCTTCCTGATGCCGCGACCCTTTAATACAGTTCCTCATGTTGTGGTGACCCCCAACCATAAAATTATTTTTGTTGCTACTTCATAACTGCAATTTTGCTACTGTTATGAATTGTCATGTAAATATCTGATATGCAGGATGTATTTTCTTTGTTACAGATCGAACATAATTGAAGCATAATGATTAATCACAAAAACAATATGTAATTATATATGTGTTTTCCGATGGTCTTAGGTGACCCCTGTGAAAGGGTCGTTCGACCCCCGAAGGGGCCGCGACCCACAGGTTGAGGACCGCTGCTCTGGAGGCTTTGGAGCTAGTCGCTCTGGCTCTGCCACTTACTAACTTTGAGACTTTGGCAAAGTGAGTTGATTCTCTGGGTTTCCCATCTGTAAAGCAGGGATCGTGGTCATTTTGACTTTAGGTGGCCACTCAGTGAGGAGGGATGGCCCTGGGACTCAACCCCTTAGACGTCCAGCGTCAGAGCCCAGGCAGCGTCCGCACCACTGACCTGTCTATCCGTCTCTTCTCTCTGCAGCTCTGACAGCTCCATGGCCTCGGCCGGCCACTGAGCCCCACCATGGGCAGCCTGTACTCGGAGTACCTGAGCCCCACCAAGGTCCTGGAGCACTATAACTACACCAAGGAGACGCTCGACGTCCCGCAGACACTGTCCCGCCAGGTGGCCTTGGTCCTCATCATCATCCTCTGCTGTGCCATCGTGGTGGAGAACATGCTGGTGCTCATCGCCGTCGCCCGAAACAGCAAGTTCCACTCAGCCATGTACCTGTTCCTGGGCAACCTGGCCGCCTCGGACCTGCTGGCGGGCGTGGCCTTCATCGCCAATACCTTGCTCTCGGGCTCTGTCACCGTGCACCTGACCCCCGTGCAGTGGTTTGCCCGCGAGGGCTCTGCTTTCATCACACTCTCTGCCTCTGTCTTCAGCCTCCTGGCCATCGCCATTGAGCGCCATGTGGCCATTGCCAAAGTCAAGGTCTACGGCAGTGACAAGAGCTGCCGCATGCTGCTGCTGATCGGGGCCTCCTGGCTCATCTCGCTGGTTCTCGGGGGCCTGCCCATCCTCGGTTGGAACTGCCTGGATCACCTCGAGACCTGTTCCACCGTTTTGCCGCTCTACACCAAAGACTA